GTTTTGTTTGAATTTCAATTGAAATTATTTGCGAAGAACGTTTAAGGAATGTGGCCTAAGTAAATATAATTTACTCCCAAGAAAATAATGAGTAGGCATCTGTATATGTACTGAGTTGGCTCTTTACTGACAGACACACCTACGCCCAGAACACTAGAGACCCGGCTAAACGATATATAACCTCAGACAAGTAAGAAAGTAACGTGTTTTTTTAACGATCACCGTTTCTTATAGTAGAGACAGAAATTTCAGCTTGATACGCTTATACCGTATTTCCAAATACATTGAAAAGCAATATTATCTAGTGCAGAAATAAAAGGAAAATTATTTTAATGATATGGACAAAAGGTGTGACACAGTTGTTTACTTCTTTAAATTTCGACGATTGATTTCATGCTTTGTTTGTTAATTGTCGTGGAAGGTCTGAAAGGGAATGTAAGCAAAATACATTATTTTCAATGGTTTACAATCATTTCAAAAATAATATTTCTTGTCAATAACTGTTATATCAAAATAAAAAAACGTCCACTCGCGTGTAAATGTTTAAGCAAATATAATTATTTTAATGTCTCCTACTTAACAGTGTAATTTTCGTTAGGTTCTTCGTTAGTTACTGTCATCTAGTAAGACACAAGTTAGTTAGTCCATAAGTTGCATTTCAGTCAACAGATTGAAGCTAATTTGAGATAAACATAGTTAAGTTGAGTAACTTGTGTTCACAGGTTGAGAGTTTACCCGCCGTATCTTTCTTTGGAATATAGATAGTCTTCTCGAACTCATCTTACACATGAAATCTATAAGCTAAGAAATATCGTCTTAGACCACTTGGGATATACTGGACTGCGACCATTGTCTAAAATAATATCCAAACGCGTTCCATTTATTTTCGATTGTTGCAAAAATACTACTTGCTGCCCGACGCGCTCTAAAGAACCTGTCTCGGGATGGAACATTCGGCCGGTAATGCCTGTGTGGACGGCAGCGATGGAGACTTCAACGCGTGATATGAGACTCGTGATAGATATGAAAATGACTAAAAGACACGGATGATAATTAGGGGCGTATTTTAATGAAATATCACTTTTTCCTTTTTCCTTTAGTTCAATGCCTTTTAGGACAAACATTAATTTTATGTTATGTTAAAAGGAAATGTTTCAATTTTGGTATGGCATTGTTTTTTTCGTTGATTTCGATTAATACATCATTTTTTACCCTTTCCTGTCACTTAAATGGTGTTTTACGTAGATTTAACCAATTTTTATATAATTTTAATGACACTTGCTTCAAATAATATTTGCGAGATGCTGCAAATACTCACAGAACTCCTGAGTAGCCTATTCATTTTTTTTGTTCAGAAATTGTAATGTCAACTGTTGATAGTATATAATATTTCCTATAACTCCTATCAGCACCATTGTAGGTTCGGCAGATTTCTCGATAACTAAAGATAGATATTTCCTATTCCTAAAAGAACCGTACAAATCAAAAGTTTGCAAGCTGAGATAAACTTGAACGAAACGAAGAAATTTGAATTAAATCAGTAACATATCCAACAGCTTGATTTGTTCATCTGAACTAGTTTTGATCAAATTTATTACGTCATTTTTATTTGCTTTTAGTGCATTTTAAAAAAAATGTTAGAGCGTTTATTGTTCATTTTTGGCGATAGTTTAGATCATCAAAGTCCGCCCCCTAGTGATAATGAATAGATATGTTCATGATTAAAAGCTGGTCCAGCGCATCGATTTTTGCTCGTTTTGCACAGCACCATACGAACTACGTGACCACAACACGGGCACATTCGAAAGTATGTTTGTGTGCTTCTACGACTTGTAGCAAAGTGATAATTTTGGAACCTTTTTAAGACGCGTGCTAAATTTGCGACGCAAATTATTCCACGAAGCTCATTGGCTGAAGCCGGATAGGCTGCGCCCATATCTTTTGATCATACATTTTTGAGAAATTGATTGATTACTGATTCCAGTCGCGTCAACTGGTAAGGGCATTAGGGACGTAAGTGTAGTGCATGTGTTTTCCTCGTGTGGTGGGGATAATCTTGCCCCACTGGATGGTGAGATTCGGCGCCGAACTATCTGTTGGCTAGTGGAGTTTTCCCCAACCAAATATTTTCTACCAACGCGTTGCAACGGGGCAATGTTCCAGCAGAGTTCTAAACTCCCGCCCGGTCGCTCGGTATGCGTGGTAGCAACTGCATCTGTGTGTGTGTCTCTGTGTGTGTGTCTCTGTGTGTGTGTCTGTGTGTGTGTCTCTGTGTGTGTGTCTGTGTGTGTGTGTGTCTGTGTGTGTGTGTCTCTGTGTGTGTCTCTGTGTGTGTCTCTGTGTGTGTAAAAGGTGAGGCTAAGACAAGGAAAGGGAAGGAATGATGGCGCGTGGTCCGTGGCCCGTTTGTTAGTGCACTACTCCGACATTCGCCTAGAATTGATAGGAGAAACCACAGAAAACAACCGATCAGAGAATCCAGACGATAGAATTCTCTTCCAGACAGGTACAGAATTCGACCTAGCTGTCTAGTGTCAAAAATCCTGCCACCGTCTCGAACCCAAGACATCCCGGTCAGAGGCACTGCAGTGACATCAGTCAATGCCTTGAACCACCTCTCCCGCTTTAATCTTGGAATTGAGGAAAGCGAAGGCAGCGGCGGAGGCGTACCCGCCAGACGCCCAGCACCCGGGCCTCCCCTCCACCACCGCCGCCACCGCCCGCCACGCCGGACACCCCACTACCGATACCAACCGGCGACACCACCGCATACCGCCCACTCACCCCGCACACCCGCATCGCCAGCCACGCCGCCACCGCCACACCTCTCCGCCGCCTTCCGCCGCCACCGCAGCGCCGCAAGCCGCCCGCACACCACCGCTGCCACCGCCCGCCACGCCACCGCCGCCACCACCCACTACCGCCGCCACCACCACCACCGCCACCGCCGCCCACTCGCGGCTCCACCTGCGCACCCGCACTCTCCGCCACCCCCGCCACTCCCGCCACCCCCGCAACCGCCGCCACAGCAGCCACCGCCTCCGCCTCCGCGGCAACCGCCGTCGCCAATGCCGCCGACGCAATGCCACTGTGCCAGGGAGCGAGGGGTCGCAACGCATGCGAAAGTGAAAGCGCGCCGGGCGCGTCTGCACGGGTCGTCCCGCAAATGCTAAAGGCCCGCATCACTGAAAAACCTTACTCCGCAATTACAAGACAATCCGTTCGGCACTTCCAATCAACTATAAGACTAAGCTCAGGCATCTACATTGAATTCTCGGTAGCAATGCATGGTGGTCTTGTAGCGTAAATTAAGCTCCACATATGCTTCCGGAGGGCGTTTGGCATTAGCCCCTCCCATGCTAAACTTGAACAGCAGGTGGTGACACAATATCCTATTCGTTTTCGCGTTATGTGGATCGGTTACGTTCCTTTCATTGCAGCTATGGATACTGTTCTTTAGTTGATTTTCGATCAGGACAGCTGTTCGTTTTTCAGAGCTTACTCAATGTTAGTAACACATAATTCTTCCATTCAGCTAATCCTTTTGATCTTTGGAATGACAAAAATATGTTTATTTATTTGATTAAGTTATCTTTGAAGTTCAACCTCTTTGTGTGCTCTTACATTCCACACGCCAATTATAAGTTGTTCCCTATTCCTAGTAGTTTGTTTCCGTAAATGATGGCGGTAGTCGCCAATATTTTCTCACTTCGGGTTTTCTTTACTTGAAACTTTGTAGTAATTCACTTTCCCATGGATTCGTAACTAGCGTTTTGCAGAGCAAGATATGTGGTGGGGCTGCCGCCTTTAGGCTCCACATCTGGCCTGATTCTGTCTGAGTTCCTTCCCACACACTGACAAATGTTCAGATCAAGAGGGACCAGTTTTTCCTGAAGGACGAGTTCAGTAAGGATCTCTTCCACCTTCATCATCTTTGGTATGTTTCCCGTTTCTGTAGCGGTTCACTCTTCTAATAGTAGGGGTGTGGCAAGAAGTATCTTAGGATGGGAGCCAGGATTCGCCAAGCTTCTCAGTCTACCTGTCGGCTCCTGCGGGTTCGGAGTAGGTCTTGCAAAGAAAGATTTTTGAAGTTCACTGCCCCTTTGTACTCGTAGGTAGGAGGAACCAAGAGTGTAGGAGAGGAATGGAAGTAAAGGATTGTATTTATATCATATTTGTGGTCCCATATTTCTGCCTCCAACATGATCGCAATTCGCCTTGTTATTCTGAGAGCAGCGTTTGTTTATGCCGATGATTGTAGTTGTGTAAACTCAACCAGTCTCATGGCAACCTTGAGATAGATGCACCTAAGTACACGGTGCACTCATGCACAAGGCGAAAGGAGCATAGCTAAATCTGGGTGGTCTGGTGGAAGAGCAGGTCTGTTGGTCAGAGCCTCGCCACATAAAATATGGCATTACTGAATTGAATTGAATATCTAACGGCTACCTCAGCGTTAATTTTGGGCACGTGCATGTGAAGTGCACGGGGGAGTTTGTTAACACAATTTCCGCGGACAATGAAAGCAGATTCATTTCCCACCTTGATAAAATCTCTATGGGCCTACTTTGCATTATGGGCTGTATGGGGATATTTCCGACGAAGACGTATTCGCCACGAATACCCTCTTCGAGGAAAACTACAGCCATCGGGGTGCTTGCAGAACTCTCGGCTTATGCACCTGAAGATGCCCCCACTCAGGATTCTGCCTCAGAAGGGGTAGTGGTGGGGCGATGACCTCCGCCATTCGCTGCGATCATCTGAGCATCGGCTGCGTGCGACGTCACTTGCGTCTGCGCTGCGAGCTGCTGCAGTCTGTCGCTCTCTTTTGGGTTGCGATGGTGGCTTAGTTAACGGGATGTCTTTGACAGCGATCTGCGCGGAACAGTAGTGTAGCTGGGGACATTTTCAAAAGTGTAGCAGGGCGTTTGCACCACCAGAAGACGAGCGCTAACGCGGCTGGGTGTGTGTGTGTGTGTGTGTGTGTGTGTGTGTTGCAGGGCCCCAAGGACGCCAGGATGAAGCCGCTCGCGCTTCTTCTGGTCCTCCTCCTCCTCCAGGTGAGTGCACGTGGGCCGCCGCCCGCCTGCCCGTCCCATCTCTCGATCGCTCTCCCGACAGCCCGACAGCACATGTTATTTTATTAATTACCTATATTTGGCGCAAAATTGCACAAAAACTACTCATAGTTTCGAAAAATTGAACATGTACGTAAAGAGATCCATCTTTAATGAGTAGGTTTCATTGAAGAAAATATCTCTATCTTTAATATTATAGTTGTAGAAAGACACCCAAAAAATTGGTGTTGTTAGTGAGAATTTCCTAGATAACAAGTACACAATTTTATAATGATTTTTCAACATGCAACTCCAGTAAGTTCTGATGAGAGAACCATAGTTTGCCGACTTTTCGAAACTTAAATGTACTAATTAATCCATCAACACCAATGAACTGTTCCCCTTTTTATTCAATGTATCATCGGAAAAACAATTAGGTCGTATACGAATAAGCGTATGATGTAACAAGGCCGCTGCTGTTTCAATTTCTAAGATGTTCTCCAGTGGCTATTTTCATAAAAAGATTATTATTTACTATTATTATTATTATTATTATTAAGGTTTCTTTCTAGGCATAACGCATTGAAAAAATATTTTCGAGCAGCTACTTCAAGAAGATCGTTTCGTAAATACCAATAGTATTCATTTTATTCTCTAATTCTTTATTCTTATAATTTATTATTTAAAATCATTGATTAGTTCTTGAGTTTGTAATTTCACCACTTGTACACTTAACACATTAACTTAGTATTGATTTCTGAATAATTCGTCCATGATTTCCATTCGGCCCAGCCATTTGCATTCTCGTCCATTGTCGTCTGCTCGTTTTCTTTGTCTTCTTACATCCGCACTGCCTTTCCTCGGCAGCATCGTGTCCCATGACGTTAAGCGTTGAGTCCAACGTTCCTGTTGGATGCGCATAACATCTACAAAATTACTATACTTACACACAACATTCGGGCTCGTGGTTAGCTCTTGGTCAGCGTGCTCGTTTTTCACTACGTGGATCCGGATTAGATTCTCGGTCGTCCCTAGACTATAGTAATCGTTTTCCTTGCAATGCCCCAGTATATGTTACTGTGTGACGATAAGAAAATGCACTTCTCAGGTTAAGAAGACCGGAATACGGTGTGGAAATGTCTACGTGCTAACCATATGTATCCCCTTAACCCATGGTCGCGAGGCACGGACGTCGCCGGTAGGACAGACTCCGTTCACGGGCTGTCGCGCCAAGTACATCCACATTACATTCACCAAGATGGATACTCGGATTCGTGAGAAATTATTCTAGTTGGTACAACACACAAAACATATTTATCCAAATTTTTAAGGGCTATGAATATTATAAAAAGGGTTTTAGAAGCGTTTGCGTCAGTACCTTACATCCCAACCGTACCTTTCGCAGGCCATCCGTTTCATCAGCAGCTGTAGGAATGTTACGAGACGCCTATCAAATGGTGTCAGAGGTCGCAGTGCGTTTATTCATTCAACCCAAGGGGCGAAGATCATATACGCTGGTTTCTTTCCTCCTTGATAGAGATGTACAGTGACACGCGTTCTTAATAATCCTAAAGAATTAATTCTAGAAATCTTCTAAATCAGTGTTATTTTGAAGAAAAGTGAAAAGTCACTAGTACCTACGTTGCACTTGGCATCTCTTCACTATAATTTAGTTACGATTGTTTGGTAGATAACATCAAAGTAAAAATGTTGTTTCCGTATCAAAAATTAACTTCATATATTTAAATTCATTTAATTATTTATTTTATTTATTCATTTATTAATTTTATTCTGATCATAGAAAGTAGACTGTAACGCTGATTTTCCTAATCTTATAAACATCTTTTTAAGGAATTTTTGTCTTTCCAATTCACTGTATTTAAATTATTAAAGCATATGTTCGACCGTTCTTTCCGAATCCGTTGCAGTACATCCATTCTCGTCACCTTACATTCCCTCTCGAAACAATCGAGATCCTGATGGCAGATAAGCTGATGGCGCCAGAGATGTAACGGACGCAGGGCCGTCACGGCGACACACGCGCAGAGGCAGGTAGTGACGTCACGAAAGGTCCGAATTCTAATTATCTCAAAAACACTACTTACAATGCTTCATATCGCTTAAAACGTTACTTATGTGCATATTGGACGATGTTGAACAAGCTGGTAAAATTATATGTCAATCCAGGTATCTAACACGGCGAGTGTTGCATGTTATTTGGAGAGACCTCCACTACTACATGCTCAGCGACCTCTGACGTGACCTATTGCCGGAGCGTCCTCTTCTTCAGGTTCTTGTGCCTAATGTAACGTCTTAAGCAGCCGCGACCGCCGCCTCATAGCCCACCATCGTCGGGGCTCGAAGTGGCGACCTTGCAATCCAACAACAGAATGTGGAATTCCTCGAAAGTCGGTTGGAGAGGACGAGCCCGCTCACCAGTACTTTCCTAGTGCGGGTGTTGACCTGTTATTATACGCGACCTCTTGTGGAAGGTCGTTAGGATTGGAGAAATTCGAAATCCTCTTTTATTTTTCATAAAGACGCAGCAGAGGTTGCGTCACGCGGCCGATGGTGAAGGTGTTGCCGCCTTTCGGTGCATGCCCTCGTGCGAAAATACCATCCACCTCCGCCTACGACGCAGGATGATATTTTAACAACAGCCGACGCGCCATCTGCAGTACGTTCTCGCCCTTAACTGGTCAGCCATAAATCATTTCTGCTCAAGCTAATGCTAACTTTTTGTTACAAAATATTTTTGACCATTCACTGTGTTTTCTAGAGAGTTAATATATTAAATAACTTGTATTTAAAATTGCAAAATAATAATCGAGTGTAAAGCGCAAAACGTCTTTTAGACTCTACGTGTCTTTTTATAAACAAGAATATTTTACCAAGAAGGTCAAAATGTTCTCTAATAACATTTCCTGACTTTAGCAAAATAGCCAAAATAAATCAATTTACTCTTGTTTCATTCTTTGAGATTTTCTGGTTGTTTTATTAATTTTCCTATAGTCTAAATTATTTTAAAGATACTGAATAATCGTTTCTTTAACACATTAAATATCATAAATAATCTCTAGTGCTTTCTTTACATTTATTTGTCAATGGACATTCAAGTAATGCGCATAATATTACAATTTCTTGAATCTTACTACTTTTTTCTCGTCATCAAAAGTAATGTTTATTGCAAAATAACATTACTTTGTAATAATGCAATAACAATATATATGATCATTAGTGTAAGTCAGATTCCTTTTGACTACACTATGACGTATTGAAGCATTGCCACTAGTTAATTCGTTACTTTTCAGAATTACTCTACTTCCAAAGAGAGTTCGTATAATTACACCCGTGTAAGTTAGTTATAAACTAACTAATTATTTCTTTACCAACATAACTGTTAACTGTTAATAATCTTATATATATACAGAAATTTGGAATTGTGGAAACTTTTATAAAATGCTCATTTTCATTTTCTCTTTATATAATGTATACCTGAATATAGTGAAATTAAATGAAAGCAATTAGCACGAATAGAATGTATGATTAATTGACCTCTATCATGTGTAAATATATACGGGATAAAAATAGTAAATTGTCGAAAAAGATCATCAGTATACGAAATTACATAACGATTATTTACAATATACATTAATTGAAATTATATTTATTTTAAAGGTTATTTATAATGATTAATCGATAAAATAATAAACAAAAACAATAAATTTATATCAAATTAATCACTTTGTCACGCGATCCAGCACCTAAAGTTTTAAGAATCAAGCACTGTATCTACGTATATATGTACATGTACGAGTATATATGTATGATAACGGCGTATTTGTTCCTGACGTTCTTTACAACACACTCTCACTCGTGCAACTAATTTCAGCAGTTCTCAGCAGCAGCTCAAGTGTTCACTTCCGCGGCCACTATTCCGCCTCGTACTCGTTACTTTACGAATCTCCACAGCCTATAAATCGCCCAATTATAATCACAGCTCTACTGTGTAGATCCTTCGCTGTTGTATCTACTTTGTTGCACGAACAATTCCTTTCCTATGTACTCTCGTTAAGATGGAGTCTATCACTCCTCACTCAGCTAACTGGGAACGACTCTCTCAAGATGAACGAGCGGTCACATGTCCGGCCTCTCCTGGAGGGGTAACACCGTGTCACATCCCCCTCCCGGCTGACTGTCGCGCTCGCCGTAAACTGCAAGTCCGGCGGTGGAACTGCGGGAAGCAGATACTAGGCCGCACCGTTTCGCTCCTGCAATAGCTGTATACTTGCATTGCGGGGACGTGTCTGGGCGTCGACGTGGATTCGTGGGCGGCAGGATTTTGGTGCATGTTCCAAACGAAACATATATATTCTAAAGTTATAGAGATTTCTAAAATTAATTTCAAATATCCATTTAAAAATATCTGGTTCTAAATCCCTATTTCGTTTCATGGCAGCATTAATCTATCTTGGTTGAATTTATACATTCACGTATTATCCACGCATTGCTTATACCAGTGGCTCATTCAGAATTTTTCCTGGGATGCTACAGATTTCGGATTGTACAGCTGCCGTGATGATTCTTATAAATATTTTTTTCATTTATACTGATTATAAAGTGCATGTTGCTTTCTCGCTACTGCTTTCGCAGTATAAAGTATTGTAATTCTTCACAAAATATTTTATTGGCGGACCCTGGTATCGTAAAAATGGAAAAATCTTGTCCCTATAGATAGTAAATTATTTTTCTAACACGTTATGTAGATAGTAAATTATTTTTCTAACACGTTATGTAGACAGAATACATGTTTTGTGGGTCCTTCATACCGAAAAATCGATTGGCGGCAAAACGTCTGTGTCTATCCGTCTGTGCACAATACTAGCGCTTAAACCGTTCAGCCGATTTTCTCCAAATTTGCTACCCTCAATCGTTCTGACTTATGTTGCGGCTCCTTGGATTTCAAGCCAGTATTTTACTTTTGCATATCGTTAAAAATCTGATTCTGGGCTAGAAGAGAATGACTGGAACGATATAGTGGTATGGAGACTGGGATGCGATAAACAGCCAAAAGAGCTGTAAAACACTCGCAAGAAGAAGATTTTTTACTTTTAGGGGTACTTTACATGAAGTTCCTCAATCATTTTCAAAATTTTCAAAAACCATTTTTTTGTTTACATTTTGTTGTCGGATGGCGTGTTACACAACGTGTGAGACGTAATTTACTATATAGATGAACAAGATTTATCTCCTTTTTCATTACCAGGGCCCGGCAATTAGAGTTTTTATGTCGCAATTTCGTGTTTTTTCTCGCTGCGTTACAATACTTTCTCTATATTGCGTAAGCAGTAGCAAGAAAGTAAAATGTAAATATCAGAAACAGAACAGAAATTGTAGACGCCATACAAAAGCTAACAAGTTGAAATGAAAATGGAGAGGACATGTTATGCTCATATAACAAAACAGTGGACTCCACGTTTAACATCATGGCTCCTGCGGAAAGGTAGCAGTGAATGTAGGAAGACAGAAAATATGCAGACGACTTCCCAAAGATAACAGGCGTGCAATGGTTGGTAGTGGCAAAAGATCGAGGAGAATGGAAATATTGGTGCAAATTATTCAGAAACCAAAAAACAATATGTAAAGAGTTTGAGTAGTGAAAATTCCAACTCGAGTACTGATTCATTATTTTAAATAACAAATAGTGTTTGGAATGAAGTGACCAATGTTATGAACTAAGAAACACTCTTCTAGAAGTGGATTCTCGAGAACATTTTTCAATGTAAATAGGAAGAGCACTTTTCCCGCTTGGGATATTAATGGCTATTAATAATAATTACTATTATTTAATGTATGAAATACACTTCACTAACTATCAAAACATATATTATCAATATAACAAGCAGTAAAGTATTACCAAGAGTCCATAACTAACTTAAGAATAGTTACAACGGTGGATATATTATTAAAGTAGCATTTATTAGTCCTTTAAAGAATATCTCAATTTAGTATATCTATTAAAAGCAACGTTGTTGTAAAAATGAAGAATGGGTTTTAACAGAGCCCACAATGGCTTATGTACATTTCTAATCACAAATGACATACTATTCCACTTCTTGGACGCAAGTTTTATAGGCAGCGAAATAGAATTTTCACTGGACAATGCGTTTTCACTAGAAAATAAAATCTTTGTTGACAAACCTTAGCTAAGAAACCCCATTGTCAGAATAAAGTTGTGGAAGTTTTGCATTTTCATTCAATAGGAAAAAAGATAAGAAAGCTGAAACGATTTGTTTTTTTCTTGTTGGAAGAAGCATTTGTCGTCTTATGATTATTTTTCCTTATTTCTGACTTGCAAATACGAATCTATTTCAATGTTACATGGATGAATGTTATTTAGACATTTCAGTCATGCACTTATTGTTGTGTTCCTTGTGCGCAGAAGGCGGTGAGCAGCCTGCAAAAGCTGGATATGCAAAACGACGTCAATGCGCTAACGCAAGTCGGTGCTGGGTACGCGGTCCTCACCCCCACCCTCACTCACGCATACGGAAACGCCCATCACCATCAGCCGCACATCTCGCGCCTCGAGGTCACGTGCGAGCTTAGCACCATGGTGGTGGCCCTCGAGTTCGACGCGCCCTTCGACGGCGTGGTGTACAGCAAGGGCCACTTCTAACGACCCGCGCTGCCGGTGAGTGCACAAGGTCTCATTTCACGACCGCCTTCGAGGCGTGGTGTACAGCAAGGGCCACTTCTACGACCCGCGCTGCCGGTGAGTGCAACAGGTCTCCAATTTCACGACGCGCCCTTCGACGGCGTGGTGTACAGCAAGGCCACTTCTACGACCCCGCGCATGCCGGTGGAGTGCATCAGGTCTCATTTCACGAAACGCGCCCTTCGACGGCGTGGTGTTCAGCAACACGGGCCACTTCTCGACCCGCGCTGCCGGTGAGTGCACAGGTCTCCATTTCACGGAACGCGCCTTCCGACGGCGTGGTTTCAGCAAGGGCCACTTCTACGACCCGCGCTGCGGTGGTGCACAGGATCTCATTTCACGAAGCACCCTTCGACGGCGTGGTGTACAGCTAAGGGCACCACTTCGAGACCCGCGCTGCCGGTGAGTGCACAGGTTTCATTTCACGACGCGCCCTTCGACGGCGTGGTGTTCAGCAAGGGCCACTTCGACGACCCGCGCTCTCGGTGAGTGCGCAGAGTATTTCATTACATAACTCAACAATCATTTATTTTAAGCATGCAAATGCAGAAGAAATGTATGGTGTCCAATTTTTAAAGCCACTCACATTTAACTTGGAAGCTTATACATCCTTTTGAAATACTTAACTACAGGTGCTAAAACAGCACATTTTCACGCATTATTTCCATATTTATAATTTTCGAAACTTTAGAGATTTCAACGAAAAGAGATCTGCGTCATACTTTTAAACGTTTTTTTGTTTTAGCCGTGAAAAAATGGAAGAAACAATTTGAAGAATTTTTTTTTAATATAACTTAAAGAAGAAAGTGAATACAACAGGTTTTTTGCTTCAAAAATAATTATACATGATCTTTCTAAAAAGTCAGTTCGACAGACGTAATTTTTCCTCAAAAATTTTAAGGTTTGACGCGCAATATTGGAAGTCTGTTTACAGTCAAGACCCGATTTACATGCTTCATTCTTACGAACTATATTTGAGTTGTAACGAATGCGCGTATGCGTAAAGCAGCTTTCCCGCCTCAGAAGACGCTGAGTGCATGCGGGTATTCGCTAAAACTCCGAAATCCGTTCGTCAAAAGGAAGTGGTGGAAGCGGATCTAAAGGTCTTCATCTCCGTACCAACATCAAGCTCCTCTGTGGCTGTAGACCCCTCGCGATCTCCTCCTGCCAAGCCAACACACGCTCCCGCAGGACAGAAGTGACTGGCGGGTTGCCTTGCGAGCTATTGTGCCCATCCTTCTTCAACGTGCATTAGATAACATTTGACAGCATTTCAGGTGCTGAGGAGGCCAAGCACTGGAAGGAGACGGCGGGACGCCCGCGCCAGAAAATAAATAGCTAAAAAACGTCGGATAGATTAGAATGTACTCGGCTTCTGACGAGCGGTTTTTCCCCTTCAGGGTTTTTTTTTCTGAGCCGTAATTATGGTTCTTTTCCGGGCTTTGATGGATGGAGAGACCATTTGGGTGAATACCAAATTGAAATATTAGAACGCGAGGATGTAGTATTGTAAGGCTTAAAGGTTTCGGCCTAGCCACATAGGATCAAGTAAGCTAATTTGTCTGTACTAATTACCTATTACATAAATAAATAAAATAAAATAACATTTGACAGCGATAATTTTGAGCTGAATGTACGTCGGTAGATCTACAATAGGGTTTGTTCAAAACGCTATTGAGATTTAAAAGGTGACTGAAATGGAATAATCTGCTTTTATCTCAACTTTGTGTATATTTTCCTTACAAAAAATATCTTTGTTGATCGAATTAAGCTTCTCAAAGATCGGTTGGTACGGCGTAACGTCGTTTCTTAGGCAGTAGTACTGACGTTAGCGAGTTACTTTCAATTCCCAGGTTCGAGTCCTCCCTAGTGTCGTTTTCGCATTCGTAAAGGGCCATGATTGCCATTTCCACCTTTCACGCGGTCTTTCCTATCGTGGCCTGTCTTTTCTCGCCAGGCCGGGAGGCGAAGAAGCTTGTTTGTGAGGCAAGAGCGCGATATGTCTAGGTCAAACGGTTCCTATCCCCTCAGTTATCTGTGTGACATGGGGTACATTCCTAGAACCAACAACCGTAAGCCTTTCCCAATGAGTTCCCCAGGACGATAACTCTGTGGGTATCTATTCCTGGATAGTCTGATCGGGAATGACGAACTGGCTCGCTACACCCACCTAAATGGTGCAAATTAAGAGATGGGCACTCCGACAAATTACCCAGAGAGAAGAAGCCCTTGTCTAAGGTCTACATCGGCGTGATGGACGGGCAGCCTGAGGAGGCTCCTCACTTGAAAAAACGCGTGGACAAGGATTGCAATCATGGTGCACCATTATCTTTGAAATCACTTAGTAATGCTAACACATCACATACTATGTTTATTTACTGGGAGAGGTGGCTCAGGGCATCAACTGCTGACACTGCAGTGCCTCTGATCCGGAGGTTCTAGGTTCGAGTTTAGGCGGTGACAGGAGTTTTGACACCAGGTATCTTATAGCATTATCATAATTATTCAACCTGTATCAGATAAATCTAACAACCATTTTAATTTATTTTATCCAGTTCGGTATTAATTCAGCGCGTTTGATTTCGACATCTTCAATAACGAGGGATAGCTGTAATAGTTTCTAGATTATTTCTCTAGATAAAAGCTATTTGTTTCTAGAATGCACATATACATTACTTTAAAGAGACTTCATTAATTTGTTTATTATATACAAATATATTTTGTCATCCATATCGGTTGGAATTTCAAGCGACAAGTAAAATGCAAAATTAAATATTCAAGAACTGATTTCGAAGAAAATCGTCCACCATGCTTGTGCATTCTTGACCACATGATGTACTGGTCAAGTTGTGAGACCTGCATTCTTTTCATAGATGTATTGTTTATAGCGAAAGGATTTTGGATTGGTTTTTAGTGGAGAGTATTTCTAGTTTAAATACCTTATTCAAAAAAGACGTCTAAGCGAGCAAAGTATCCCAACGTTTTCTCCTAGAAGCAAGGCACAAGTGAAAAGACTCCGTGCATCTTAGTTTGCTCACCTCGCTCTGTCTTTGCAGGTACGTGGCCGCCGGGACGAACCGCGCGGCGTACACCTTCCAGATTCCTCTGAACGGCTGTGGAACGACGCCTGGCGGGGGCTTCGGACGCACCGTCGACAACGTCATCGTCATCCAGTCCGATGACACCGTCCAGGTACGTCCGTGCTGCTCCTGCAGTAGCCTCACAAACACACAAAATCAATTTATGTTGAAATCATATGAAGTTACTGTAACATTATTTTTAAAGGATATTTTATAAATCATTTCAACATATTATTTTAATTATGTGTGCTTTAAACGTACTTTTAATAAACTATTTTGTTGATATGTACATTTATATCACCATTCCTAAGAAAGTATGTTTCAGTAAAATCATATTGTTTGAAAAAATTAATATAATTTTTAAACAATTAAATCGATTTATTTTTAAAGGGGATTAAATTAGTAAATACGCAAAATATACTTGGTTGTTTAATAGGAGATACTTCTCTAAATTACATTTTTTTATACGAAAATGATGCAGGTATAAGGTAGTTTGCATCAATTTTATTACTGACAATCAGCAAAACATTATGTTTATTTTGGAATTAACTTCAGACACTGACTTGTATTCTTTACAAAAATAGAATTTACTGCCGTCGGAATAGTATTTACAGTCCTGAACAGTACAATGAACATATTAGTGCCAATTCACTCCACAAATTTACTTCAATACTATACATTTATAACTTCTCCATAAACTATAAAAATGGTGACCTAATTTCTATAAAAATTCTCTCTTTACTAAATCATACGAAAAAGGATTTGTAAAAGATAGGAAGGTCATTTCAAATCTCAAATTCCTAAATATTTCAGAACGACAATTTAATTTCTGGTGTTGTAAAAACTTGAAATGTCACCAGTAGAATATCGGAAATACTTATAGATTGGCTTCCTTTCTCATAAGAGTAGAACTATAGTTATAGATTCAATGCATTTTGAGGACTTTGTTTATAATGTTTTTTATAAAGTAATTGTAGAAGAACATTTTAATTTTAGTTTCGTTGAAACATCACTGTATATTGCCGGCAATGCTTTTTTATCAAAATTTCAAAGTATTCCTTAATTGTTTGTCAGGATAGATTTATCATTAATTTCAAGAAAGTTATTTATATGGGGATAGCCCCATCTTAAAATTATCGGTTCAACTTTCTCATCCACAGTTGATGTTACGTTCGCAATAAGTTATTTCATTGAAGTTCTTAATTTCCCATTTACTACTACGTGGTGTAGAAGTATTGTAATGTTCAAGATGAATATGTCGATTTTTGTATATAACTAGTAGGGCTTTAACAGCATTTATTTTCCCGCATTATTTCTAAGTGCCCCGCTCTATTTTACTACTACATAAGCATGCAAAAGTGTTTCCAGCCAGCAAACTTTATTTTCCAAGGCTCGAACTCAGATTTTTGGAACTCTGAGATTCTCGCCGTCAACCATACCGCTACATTACAGAAGTGCTTTGTGTTTTAAACTCGGACCGACGCTTAAAAATGTAATTGTCTCAATCTAATATTTTCAGCTTGCAAATTTATGCAATTTTCGAAAAAATGGAGAGTTTGCCGAAAATGGGACAAGGGCCATATTTTAATCGACTCTTCATACACACCAGAAGAAACTTTTAAAGAAAATATTGCAGCGGTTTTGAGAAAATATTTTTTTTATACATTACATAAATTTCATATTCAAAAATTCGCGAAATATATTCGTTTTTTTCAAAATAAATTGTATGCGTTCGTCAAAATCTCTTCTTTCAATTTTGTGGTTTTACAATGTTAATTTTTCTTTCAATTTTCGAAAGTACGAAGAATTTGCCGAAAATGGCACTAGCATCATATATTTACCGACCCTTTGTACACACGAGGAGAAAATTTAAAGCAAAAATTTCGTGCTGTTTTAGAGAAAAATATAGTTTAAAAAAATTAAAATTGCCTATATTTCACACAAAACTAACCGAAACTCATATGTTCGGAAAATTGCCCTTGACCTTACTTCAAGAATTGTGGTTAAGGAACAGATTTTACTAAGAAAAAAATTTCTGTCTCTAGTTGTAATAAAACGGCCAAAAAATTGCACGTTTGCATCCGTTTGGTAAAGCGAAGTTACCTACCTTTCCCCCAAACCACTTTGACGCGAGAGAAGTGTAACATCTTCGCGGCAGACACCTGGTTCTTACAACTGCAGCAGCTCGAGCAGATGGGAGAGTGTCTCTTGACTGCACGAGCCACGGTTCATTTCATTTTTAATCTGCCACAATCCATGTTGTTTTTATGTGCGGTGCTCATCAACCTTTAAGAATGCAAATGAAACAGTGGTCTGTATAATGTGTATTTCTTGCTCGTTAAGTAAAATAGGTCATGTGTTTTAGTCTTCATCACATACGGCCACGTGGAACAATTGCATTGCTCTTCAAACCAGTGTAAACTTCATATCTTCTGTGAGCCGTAAGATGCATTTGTCTTATTCGAATTAACGTTGGTGTTATGCAAGCAACAGTCAGCACTGGCTGAGTCTCGCAATTGGGTGTGACGTGCATTCACGTGCTCTATGCTGGTGGAAAATGGACTATGTGCTGGTGGAAACAGTCTTGCTGCTTGGGGGCGGACATAGCCGTTCTCCCTCCTACGAAGTCTGGTCAGTGGGGACATTCCCTACATTTCGAATCGTGTCAACGCAGTTGGCAACTTTCAAATAGTTGGATGTAGCACTTTGTGACATGTCATTTGATTTTAGTGTGGTAATTTGTAATTTAATGGGTGATTTGCTTCATGTGTTTTTTATGGGCCATTTGTTTTTCAGTTCAATAACTTATTATTTGATGAGTGGATTTTGTTTTTAATGTTTCATTCTGTATTCCTAAGTTTGCATTACAAAAATCCAAATGGTCTATAGAGAAAGGAAAATACAACTTAATCAAACTCCAGGAAGAATAACCATACGACTGCTGTTATATCAAACTTGTCATAAACATATTGAATACTAATGTAAACTTTTTATAATTGTCATTATTAAACTTCTTATTCTCACTTGGATTCCTTTTATTCTGTTCCACTGGAGTAAAAGGAATGACTGCTCAAAATATAATATTTTTATTTGCTTACAGTCCACAAGCTGAGTGGCATTCAAGTTCTTTCAGCATATTCCCAAAGACCTGGAATTTGTACGAACAAGAGACCTGCATTATTCTCCTTGCGTCCTTTACGTTAACCGACGACAAAGTTTAATAAAACAATTTGTTGCCATTTTTTAACATTTTTGACATTTTTTTGAGACTTCATGTGAAGTAATCTCAAAAATCAAAGCATTTCAAAACCTGAAATTTGTACAGATCGATCAGGGAATATCAATTTTGGAAAAACGTGGTAGAACGGTTTAGGCGCTAGCGTTGACCACAAATAATTCAGCTCTTTAAAAAACTCATGTATTTTTTTTAAACAGTACTTTTTGCGTAATTTGTCCTTGAAATCAATTCAAACATTTTCTCAAAAACCGCTCCAAACTCTTTTCTTCCATTTTCCCCCACCGATAGAAGAAGGGACACTTAAAAGAATAGCATGGATCTCATTTGCGTTGAACTCTAAATTTTTGAAAAATGCAAATTTAGAAATAATGCGAGAAAGCGTGTTCTTTTGTAGCGCCATTCGTTAATTTTAGAATGTGAAATCCACTTCCCATGCAACGTTAGAACCTACAGTGAATATGGATAGTTGTCAGATTATTCGTGCCGGTTTATATTTTCAAAGAATTGAGAATTATTTACATGATATCTCGTAGTTAGGCGCAATAAACTAAACAAACAGTTATTTTAACTTTAAACGCTCACAAGATAAGAAACGCTCTCAAATGAGGCGTGTAGGAAACATAGTTTGTGCCAGTGGCGCCTCGAGCCGGTTGTAGCATGTTTGACTTACAATATAAATATGTCGCCATTATACAAATATATAGGAATTGTATATAATATGTCATTCATTATTACTCTCGTAACTCATAATCGCATCACAATATTCTTGCCTTAAATGCAAATTAAATACATGAAATTAAACCGCACGTTTACTGCAGGCTTGAGTGTGTACACTGCCTTGCTACACTTACGACTTCAACGTTAGAATACAGGCGAAGACACACCAGTGGCTGTCAGAAACGAGGAGATGGGGTTTCGCGGGGAGAATGTCTCAATGGTGTTAGTCAACCGTAATCGGAAAGTTGCTGCGACAAAGTTCTCAAAGCGCTCGACAGATAGCGAATTTCTAGTTCCAACATCTCCGCCAGGTGTCTGAATCATTCCTGCTGAATATAAATTGTGATAATATATCATATGAGAATCGTATTTTAGTTTTCTTGTATGTTTCCACAAACCAAATTTCTACATTATATTTGTAATTTTGTACAAAGGAATATTCAAAAGCATGTAATCGAAATGCTTCACCATAAATGGAGCTTTCATTACTTGCCCGTTGAAGTTGGCAGCACTACATCTCTTGTTGTGGCTGTCGAGACAGAGACAGATTCTATTTTTGTTGGGCACGGTACTTACATACCAATACACGGTAGTAATACAATGGCAGAAGGTACAGTATCAGTTCTTTCCATGCTTTCCATCCAGCATGACTTACTTACCCAACAGCAGACGTTAATGAAAGAGTTATCAAAAAAAATAATACGAGCAAGGAAAGGCTTCTTTTACAAATAGATGAGTATATATGTTCTTTATTTAAATAAGTTAAAACAATGATAACTAATGTTGTGGAAATGGGAATGTGTCGAAGAAAAATTTGAAATTTTAAGTTCAGTGTATTTATGAAAAGAACATGTAAATTCATTGTGTACTAACCTCAGCATCGAAGTCCTTCCCCCTTTATGCCATTATTTTCTAAACCACCAACGTTTGAGAGCAAAAGCCGTCATTGGTTTTTACATAAACATGTTTTAAGTCGCACTACTTAGAAAATTTTAGAGAAAAATGAACAAAAGAATGTGTTTCAATACGATTATTTTGGACGATAAACTACAACCGACAGAATTCAAACCAAGCACTCATTAGCTCTTAGCTCGATGAAATACGAAGTGTTTGAAGCGTGGGCCAACACCAGCCTCTGCCTTGCCCTTCAATAAGCGCGAATGCCGTGTGTGTGGTCGCAGGAAATATGGGACACGGCGCGCAAGCTGTCGTGCGCCACGGCGAACAGCAAGGAGAAGACGGTGATCTTCCGCCCGTTCGTGGTGGACATGCTGGAAGTGGTGACGGTGCCGGAGGCCGTGGGCTCCGTCGACTGCTGGATGGACATCCAACGCGGCGTTTTCCCCAACGTGAGTGCAGTCATAAAGGATTGATTAGTGATTCCGGCCCGCGCTGAATGGCGAGACCTACATGTCGGCTCGCAATGTTTTCCCCAACCGGTTATATCCCATCAGAGGAACACCGCTCCAGCCCAAGCAAGCTCCAAGTTCCTGGCTGCTCCCGACGTGTGTGATGCCTACAAGAGTAAGTGTGTGTGAGTAAGGGGAGAGGACAGGACAAGGAAGACGAAAGAATGATCGCGCGCGGTCCATGGCCCGTTTGTCATGGTACTGCTCCAACTTTCGCCAAGTGTTGATAGGAGAAACCACGGAAAACCATCGATCATTGCTCCCGGCCGCCAGAATTCTCCTGCAAACAGCAGCTGAACTCCACCTAACGTTCTAACTAGTGGCATAGGTTCTAACTAGTTACCTTCATGCCTGAATGCCTTTCATACATCCCAATGTACAAATTAAAACATCTCTTTTAATTAAGATTATCCTAGACAAAACAAAAAAATACCTCCTCCTTTTTTTCATTCTAGCTCTTACGATAACATTCTCTCGCTTGAGAGTACAACTGATGTAATTGCTAGGTAATCCGTGACAAATCTCCATTGAAACGGTTCATTCTATCTCATATTTAAGTCATAATTTGTTACATTTTTGGGGGGTCCTCATTAGTGTTTCATCCGCGGTTAATGCGAAGCTCTGTTGGACGCCCTGAGCGCGAGCTAACGCCCACGCGTCGCCGCTTCGTTCCACAGACAGCACCGATCGAGGAGATCATCAAGATCGGCGAGACGCTGACCATCCTTGGTGTACTCAAGGACAACGACAACCAGTACGACGTGCGGGTGCGGCGCTGCTGGGCGTACGACAACGAGGATACGAGGCCAAGGACACGCACCGCCTGCAGTCAACAGACGACGAGGGTGCCCAAGTGATGCCTGTCCGCTGCCAAGCGTGTCGCCTGCGGCCTGTCAACAACCTAGCACACGAGAGACAAGGGACTCCCGCCACTTGCGCTTATTCCTAATTATTACATGCAAATACTGTAAGTAGAAAAATCTTAACATTTACATTTTTTTCGCGAGTTGTCCATCTCGGGATCATGCGAACATGCAACCCACTGGAGCTCAGTCATATTTATCGAGAGCAAGTGCACGTGGCTTTTATGGGGGGATCAGCATTCGCATGCTAAATCGGTTTTTACACCCAGGATTTTTATCCCTGGAGGTTGATGGCGGCGGCGACGGTGTAACGGCGTATCGGACTGTTATACCCAAGTTGGAGGGTTCAAACCCGATCGAAGCCGTGGATTTTTAAGGGTGAAAGTCCTTCGTACGCCTTCCTTCGGAGGGGAAGTAAAGCCGGCTGTCCAATGTTAGTAAATTTACTTGCATTATTAAATTCAAATCGCCTGTTCATCGCCCAAGAAATACCTCCTCTCTCCGCTAGTTGGTGAAAGGAGCGTAGTAAAATTTGCGTGGTCAGACGGAAGAGTGGGCCTGATGGCCCGAGTCTCCCCTCGTAAAATAAGGCATCAATTCAATAATGTGAATTGTAATGATGAAGGTTAAATGGACAACCACGAACATACCGAAACACAACCATGGCCTCCGAGGCGGGATTCGAACCCGTGACCCTTCTCTCCGCCAGGGCACTATTGCCTTATCGATTTCGGCTACCCGGATCGGATTAAAATTTCTTTATTGTTTGATGTCTTCTTTCGTTTATGACCATCTGAAACCTGTGAAAAATAAGAGGGAATATGATTGAAGACAGTTATTTCTTTCAGGAAAAGAAAGCTGATAGGATACTGGCAGCGTACACACGAAACAGGATCGTCGGGAGCCAGTATCATCGCCTACAACAACATCACCGCCTTCAAGTTCTCCGACCGCATGCAAGTTTTCCTCACGTGCAACATTGAGGTAAGTCAGCCTCGATGTTCGCTCGGATTTCTACTTGGCGTCTCAGAACTCACCTTCTATTTAACGATTCAAATAAAATACATTTATTGATTTTTAGAGAGTGGATTGAATGAACGGTGCATTGTACATTAAAAACATACTTAAAAGTAGTAGAATTTTAAAAAAGGTAATGAAAATAGCTTCGTTTTCTTATGTAGCTGGTTTTCTAATGCGGTACATTATTTTTAAAATTTAAAGTCTTTCTTGCTTCATTTCAAACTATATGTGAAAATATTACTATATGTGATGTTCCGGATATTTTTGTAGAATGGCATCATGAGTCCTCCCCAGTGGTAAGAGCAGGAGCTCTCCGCTCGCCCTACCTAATAAATTCTACCCTCTTTCAGGATTAGTGCCTAAGTCACACCCTTCATCAGCGATACTCTCATTACAAATCTTTCTGTATTTTCTTTTCACTGGAAGTTTTCTTAGAAATCACATATCACAATATCTTCCACTATCCAAAATTAGTACGTCAAGATTATAATTTTTTTAGTGGTTACGTATAAGAAAATTGAGTTCAATCACATTAAAAATCTGGCGCGATTTTAAGCTATTCAAAACGATACCAAGTAGCTCTGAGAAGGCTTCCCTCAAGTGCTCCCTTTTTCTTTCTCGCTACGGAGTAGATAGAAAGGTATGTAATGCAGCCCGAAAAAATGGCGAATTTTCGTCAGAGCCCTGGTAATAAAAAAGTGTATAAATCCAGTTGTTAAATTTAGAGAAAAATCTTTTAACGCGTGGTGTAGCCAGAATCTATGTTTTGGGGATCCTCGAAAGCAAAAAATCGATTGACGGCAAAACGTCTGTTCGTCTGTCTGTCCGTCTGTGAACAACGCTGGCGGCTAAACCGTTCAGCCGATTTTTTCCAAAATTGATATTCCCTAATCAATCTGCCGGATGTTGTGATATCTTGAATTTGAAACCGATATTTTAGTTTTAGGGGTACTTTACACAAAGCCCCTGCGACATTTTCAAAAAACAGTAATTCCATTGTTTTTGATGCAATTTTGTTGTTCGATATTGTAAAGGACATTTAAGAGAATGGTGCAGGTTTCATGTTCGTTAAAAAACCTAATTTTTCGAAAATTGATTTTTTTTAATAATGTTCGGCCTCTTCCTACTGTTACAATTACTCGTATTAAGATAGAGATTTTTGCTTTAATGAAATCTAATCCTTAAATATTGAATTTGAAATAAGGTCAGGCATCTATCAATGCATGAGACGCATATGATTTATCACTCGTGCCCGCCAGTTTCGTTCATGTTGAATAAGTTTCCAGCTTGCATACAGATACGCAGGTTTACTTTGAGTGTATTTTTCTCTAGTGTTCGATGATAAAACATCACTTCAACTTTTTAACACTACACTGTATATAATATATTCACAAACTACCCATCGCTTAATAATATCCATTATGTGGTGAATGCACAAGATAAAAAAAATACAGACCAGTTGCAAATAATATCCATTCATACTCCTTTCGCGCTTGTCTCTAATACAAATGTCATGTCGCGGGCGCAAGAGCTCCCTTTCTCGACCTCGATGACTGAGCTGCTGGGATTTGGTCACTCGCTTAATGTGCAGCAAAAGGTATCGCACTTTTGAATCTATTTGAATTTATAAATTTCTATGAAAACTTAAATAAATACCATCATTAAGCCCGCAGAGAATGCTGACCAGAATTTAATTTGACGTAACCTACATGTGTTTAAATTTAACGAAAATAAACTGTATTTACGATTTATAAATGAACATTTCGTGATCTCAAATTGAAAGGGAAGCGACGCGTCAATTCATCCCTGGACGATGCGCCCCTTGTAAACTGAACAGCTATTTGGCTACTGATACTCATCCCTGAACCTTTCCCAACCGTCCTCTTTCATAGGGTCTTGAACAGGCTCAATTGACGCAGAGAAGTCAACTCAGAACTTTACCATTTAAAATAAACTAAGAAGTTAAAAAAGAGATGGGACTGCAAAGAAAATACAACAAAACCGAACAAAATATGTTTTAAATATATCTGTTGCAGTATAGTGGAACAAGATGGTTGGAAAACGGGTGATTTTTACTGGAAAGGGATGAATAATATTAATGTCGAGTAGCGTCAGTTAACATAAAATCTAAAACAAAATTGAAGAGGTAGTTCTAGGTACGAGAAAAAATTTAGTAACATTTGAACGATTCCAATAAGCAGATATGCACTAAAAAACATATAAATGTCAAAAAACGTAATTTTGAAGTATTTGAATACAAAACCATACAAGAAACTTCTAAAATATAAAACTACATTACTTAAGAGAAAACCGACAAAAATCATAAGAGAGCCATGGGAAAATTTTCAAAACGCATTGATCACATATACAAATATTTCTAACTAAAGCATTTTAAGCATTAAAACGGATTAAGAAAGATGAAAATATATGGTAAATATTAAAACCATCTCCATCTAATGGACCAAATACAATAAATAAAATAATAAAGAAGATAATATTCAAAATGCCACTTTTGATTAAAATATAAATTTCATAACCATGGGCAAGAAATGTAAAAATAACCCTCATTCATTTTTAATAATTATTTTGTTATTAAGGGGTTTTCCCTTCCGAACTCGGCGCCTAGAAATGACTCCTGT